AGTTTTTGAGAGTCATGACCCAGTATTAAAGCAAGCACATATGCAGGATATCAGCATCAACAGTAGACAGCATGAAGCAGAACAGAGCACAAGAGTACAACAGTGTAAGAGGGCAAGAGCACAAGAGCAGCCTGCCTCTATTTATAGTTCTTATATGGGTTGTTACCTTAAACTTACATTCTTAACTCATTCCATAACCAGTGTATTTGTGTTTCTCCATAGCTAAGCCATGGTTATAGAATTAAGCTCTGCTGTGTACCTGCACTGAGAACCAGAAGTATGTCCTCAGGTGTCCTTAGGCACCCCTGAGCTTTGAAGAAGTCTGAGTGGTTATCCACGTCCTCTCAAAGGTCTAGGATGTGTCACCTCTTATGAGCAGCCCATAATGCCAGGGCCCCTGTACCAAAAACTACAACAATGACACAGGGCTATCAAGCACCAGGTGAATACCAAGGATTCACACTATTCATTAAGGGAATCCTTGTGCAGCACCTGGGTGGCAGAAACCTCTGCATCCATCTCATGGAAGATCGTTGCACCTATGTCTGGTGGTCAAAAACATAAAGGGAACATTCAGCATGTAAGAAGGTACAAGTGCCTCCTTGTGCTGCAGTCACCAAATCAAGAGTCATAAAGTTTTACAAACCCATCTTTCTCCTCTGAGAAGTCTCACCTGTGAGCAATGTAAAAAACCAAGATTGTAACATAAAAGTCTTGGGCCACATGATGAGCAAGGACTTCAAATTGAAAGGCTAGGTCTATGAATCCTGGCAGCATCAAGGCTATTGGATAAAACCACTAGGCCACTTGTTTATAATGGTACCATCTGTGATTCACAGAATCCCAGGTATGGGGTGTGTGTTTAAGAGTGGATCTGATAGTGCCCTTAACATGGAAATCCACAGGCTCAGCACTGTCTCCAGTGTACAGGTAGGTGGGGCCAATCTGTAGTGTCACAAACAACCCTTTATGCATCTGCAATGGGCCAATCAGTGGTCACCATACATATAAATTTATTGCTGTCCCACCACTTGTTTGTGTCATTTACTAATAATGTCTGGTTACAAAAGTTGGGGGGTATGTACCCCACTGTTAGATATCCCACTGACGTATTTACCTCTTGAATACAAAGTGGGACTACAGCCAACAATATCACAGAATCTCCCAGTCATCCACCCCCAACCATGGTACATAACAGGTTCCAGTCCCTGTGGGATGGATGCGCTCTTCTGATCAGCGCCTCAATGATCCAGTGCTGTTGACCTCAGGTAAAGCTAGTCCAGTTTTGCTGTCACCATTCAGTCCAATTGAGCAAGAGTGCCAGCATTATCCTCCATGGGAGGCCCTCAGCTGCCTCAGTAGGCCATTTAGTGCACACCTAACACTGGAATAATTACTGCACGTGAGCAAACTCCTGTGCCTGTAAAACAGCACTGTTAGCGTTGCTTGTCCTTGTTGGATGAGATCAGGAGATCTCACCTTACTAGGAGGATGCAGGCCACATGTTCTTTCTGTGATAGGGTGGTGACTGGAATCTACCTTTACCCCTTGGCTTAGAATAACAGACTGGGGCTCCAGTTGCTACCAGAGATAATGGAGTTGGTGGTGAATCTACCCCCTCACCGGGGAAATACATCAAGCAGCCATAGCATTATTCCTTTCAGAGTGGTGGCTCCAGCATCTAGCCGACAGTGCACCAATGCTTTCAATGGCCAAGTTGAAATTAAGGCTACATTTCTATAGCATGTCTAAGTCCTTTCCCTCAGAGCTCCAAAAAGACTACCTAATTGCCCACCAGGGCTTCCTCAGGCCAATCCCGCTAATAGCAGCCTCCTGGTCTCTAGGCTCCAGTGCAGGAAGAATTAAGGTCGTTTTCATAGCCTTGGGGTCCTGTTCCACTTGTAGATATCCACATATAACTGTGTACATGTTTAAGTGTGCAAGATAAATAACCACAGTATTAATCTTCTGTAAGTTCATCAAAAAGAATAGTTTTTGCTGTCATTGCTTGATGAAATTCTGTTTATTTTTCATGCTTAAATTTTGTATCTTGAACAACTAATTCTAAGATAACAATGTGTAATATATTAACTGGTGTTAATTACTTATGGTTTTTTAAAAAGTCTGTGTTATTTTCACCCTTTTTTCCATTACGCTTTTTAAAAATTAAAAACAGAAATCACTGTATATATGTATATATATATATATATATATATATACACACACACACACATACATATATACATACTTATACACACACATAAGGGCTAAATGAATTGTACTGCTGGTTCTGTTGTCTCACAGAAAGTAACTTTCCCTTCTATTATTGGGTGGTCTGTTTTGCATGCCCATAGGTTGAGGCCTGAGCACCTATTTTGAGGATAACTATCTGCAATGTAGGGACTATTGTTAATTTCCTATCAGCTTGATTTGAGGTCGTGTGTCATTTTTTAAGGTTTTGTTTTGTTTTTATTGATTTGCTTTCTTTTAATCTCTGTAAAATGAAAAAAAAAACCAGATAATTTCCTCATGGGAGTGAATTCACTGTGTCCCACAAATTTTTGTATGATATACTGCTTGTATGATTTAGCTCTCTAACTGTATTATGTCTTCCTTGATTTCTTTTATGTGACCCATTATTTATTTAAGAGACTTTTTATTTTTCATGAATTTGCATAATTTCTGGGTTTTATCATTGATTTTTAGTTTCCTTGCACAACTGTCTGATAATATGCATCTTATAAGTTCAATTCTCTTCTATGTTTACCTGAGGTTTCTTTATGGACCGGAATGTGGTTTATTTGGAGAAAATTCCAATTGCTGCTAGAAAAAAACCTATATTCTGTTGCCATTGCTTGGAACACCTGCAGATCTTAAATCCATTTCTTAAAAGTTTTTTTCCAACTCTAATGTTTTCTGTCTATATGAAAAATCTATTTTTGATATTGGGGTATTGAAATCTCCCATTATAATTGTGGCTATGACTATCCGGTTATACATTCAGTAACATTTGTTTAGTAGTTAGTGGTGCTGTTATGTGGTGCTCTTGTATGAGGCTGTTTGGTGTGGAATTATTGCCTTAACCAGTACATAGTAACCATCCTTGAATTTTTTTTGATAATTTATGCCTAAAGTCTACTTGGAAAATAGCATAGCTATAACTGATTTTTTTTCAAGTTACCTTTGCATAAGATATTATTTTCCATGGATTGATTCATAATCTATGGGTTCCTTTTTGGGATAAATGTCTCTTTTATATAATATACTATCAGATTTTATTTTTTAATCCATTCTGGCATTTCTGCATTTGATTAGCAAATTGAAGTCATTCACATTGAGAGTTCCTATTGAGAGTTATCAATGTAGTCCTAACATTACATTATTTTTCTGTCACTGATTCCACATTTTTCTCTTTTATGTACTTGTTCCTGATAAATGGCATATTACTTTCTAGATTTTTGTTACTTGTGGCTTCATCATCTCTTTCTAGGATACCTTTGAGTGTTTTGAAGTGCTTATTTGGTGGTTATATATATATATATATATATATATATATATATATATATATATATATTTGGTGCTATTTACCATATTACCTTTTTCCCAATCACTTTTGAAAGATAAAAAATTATTTGGGGTTTAACACACTTCATTCCAAATTCTCCTGGCCTTTTAGTTGTGTGTTAACTAATTTCCAGTAATTGTGACAAGTTTTAATCATAAAAGATTTGGTCTTTTTTCTCAGTGCTGCTATCATTCTATTCTCACATACAACTTCTGGGATTTTGACTGTGATGTGACATGGTGAGGTTTTCTTCTCTTTGTGGCTCTTCAGGTGCTACATTCCTCATTCATATCTATGTTATATTATTTTCCTATACTTTTATATTTTATGTTATTAATTCAGGTACAAGTTTTTATGTCATATTTTGTCTTCAATTCTTCAAGAATTCCACTTAATCTTAGATTAATCTTTCTGTCATCTAGTAGCTGTTGGATCCATTTATCATGTACTCTTTGAGTTTTAATGTATCTCTAGTTAATCAGTGAGCAATAACAAAATCATTTTATAGTTCTGACACTACCCTCACATTGGTAACTTCTGCTGCTCACACTTTCAATAGAATATTCCAAATTAGAATAATATGGAAATAAAGTGAACAAGTAGCAGGGGGCCTGTCCAGGGATAGATACAGCAGTAAGCCACAAGTCTAGAGTCTCTGGAATGGCAAAAATCTTGAGAATTGCTGAGTCCAACAGTAGTCAGCTCTTCAAGGAGGCAACTCTGCAGATACTACAGTAGGATGAGGCAAGATCCAGACATGTGTCTTAGCACTGTTTCTAAGCAGATTCTGATACATAGACTATAAACTACTGAGTTCCAGAGGGGAAGAAAGAGAACCACAAAGCCTCAGAAGGGATACAAGAGCCTAACATCTCCTCACTCCTGAGACATTATAATTCTCTAGAGAGGACTACCAGTACATTCTACCAACCTTATCAATGGTATCAAACATATTTTCCACCATCAAGTATTTTTTAATGCTAACGTACCACTTGATTTCCTTCTAAGCTTTGCTAAATTTCATTCTTCAAATATAACATCAGTTATTTTGTTAATTATAAAAGAACTTCAGATGATAGGTTCATAGATTATAAAAATAATATGGGTCATCTATTCATTTAAAAGGCACAGACACTACTACCAAAGTTCCTAATATGTTGTCAAGGTGCTCTAGAATTAAATTTTCATTTTCAGTTCAATACATTAGATTACATTCCAATGATTACTGTATAACCATATGATTTAATAAACTGTAAAATATCTTTAATTTTTGATTTGGAGTCTTCTATGTATAACTCAATTTGCTCTAATATTGGTAAGTGGTTCCAGTAAAAATAACTGTTGCTGAAGAGCAGTGAAATGGCAAAAGGAAAATATAAGGCACTGAAAATAAATAGTGATATTCATGTTTAATATGAATATAATTTACAGTAAATTATGGAGAATTTAAATTTTTTTAAAGGTTAAAAATTTTAAGAAAGCAATCATGAAGAAGACAATCATTACAACAGTCAAAGCCACGTGATTCTTCCATAAGCCCCAAGGGGAGATATCAATACCCAGACTGGTCAGGAATTCTTCACCATTACATCTGAAATTCATGACAAAAGGAATATAGTTTCACTATTAGCATATGTGAAATTTACTCAACATCACCAGTATTGCTTTAGTAAAGAATCAAATAGATTAACAAAATATTAGTAATAGTCAATTTATTCTAGTAACAATCATTGAGAGCTTACCATTTTCTAGATAATGTCTTGCAAATTAATTCCTATAGTAGTCAAGAGCGGAGATAAAACACTTTTAAAGAAAATGGGATTAGTTTAAGAAATATGGCCAAATTACAGAGTGAGGATCCTTTTTAGTTTTCTCTGATTTATTTATTTCCAAATCTATAATGAATTTCTCATCAAAGGATGGATTTATGAAACATTTTTTATTGTCTTTGGTGATCAGTAGGGAGAGTTTCTGCTGTGTCACCCACAGCTTTTGCTAAGAAACTCAAAGCTCCTCTTTCTGTTGATCCATAAGAAAGCGATACAGAACCCAGGCTATGAATCCTAAAACTAGGACAACAGATAATATGGGCTTTGTTCAGATCATATTTTCATAGTTAGTGAGCCAAGATGGTTGTGCATCAAAGAACCTCAGCTGCAAGACACTGCCAACAAGCCAGGTATCAGATTCAAACCTTAGTGAGCTGGAGCACAGGATGATACACTTGTCCTGCTACAGCTATAAAAAAATCCTGTACTCATAATGCCTGTGATAGTCAAAATTATTGCTTGCTCCAATTATTGTGCATCTCTTGGAACTTGGCAGTACCAAAAACACCTTCAGCCCTTTTTAATTAAATCCTTTCTTGGTTACGTTTCTCTCATTGCTGAAACAAAATATCTAACACCCAAAAATAGGGAAGAAAAGGTATATTTAGCTCAGTTTGTGAAACTTTCAGTTCATAATCAGCTAGGTCCAAGGCAGCGTGGAATGGCACAGGGCCAACAGTTCAAGAGGGCAGACAGAAAACAGCAAAGTCAGTAAGAGGAAGAGGAAGAAAAAGCCTTTTCTCTTATTTATATTGTGTGTATATTATTCTATTTATATTGTATATAGTATGTACCCTTTAGGGCAGTTATAGCACTTTCACCATTTCCATGCTCTCCTTTTGAACAGGGTTAGGATGTTTACCAAGTGAGGACCCTGGTCTCTTGCTAAGTCACTTAAACTTCTAAATCTCTCAAGTTAAAACAGTGTATCAACTATTACAAAGCTATGGCAGATCCCCCTTCAGGAGTCCTATGTTTCCTGTCCACTTCTTTCTGACCAGCAGGCTAGCTCTAAATTTTTCTTATCAATTTGCCGCACCTGGATCGAAGCAATTGAAGAGGGTTGGTAAATGAAATCATTGTTCATTTTCACAGGGCTTTACAGCCAATAATTCAGAACTGAAATTTGTTTCAATTCTAAGAATGATTTGAACACACTAGGAATCATAAAATGACTTCTTTTGAGTACAGTTCAGGTTGAAATGGATCTTTTAATAACTGAGGAAAACATATACAGCTATCTATGAGCCCAACTCGTGGGCCACAATAGGATACAAAAGGGAAGCAACAGTGTAAAGGAAGAGGACGTGGCCCTGTCACAATTCTGACAGTTTTCTTTGCCTCAGGCATCAAAATATGCCATGAAACAAAAGGAAATATTCTCTCTTCTCACATAGACTAATGTTTGAGAATCAAACATTAACAGTAACCATGGAAAAGGAAAATATTGGTACAATTTTAAACGATCTTACTTTATTAAAACTGCCATCTTTTTAAAATGTCACTGTGCAGAAATGAGATGTCCTTCTCAATGTTTTGAGATATATTTCTTTCTTTAGATAATATATTTAACAGGCCACTGACACACACCAACACACTCAACTGTGCAGGTATTTATTTCATGGTATCTTCTAGTGCCTGAGGTGAGAATGCCATGGTCTCAGTTGAGGAACATTCACTCCCTTTAAGCCATTGCTTCCCTTTTAGCTCCATGGACTGGGATCCCAGATGCCAGAGTCTGTAAATCCTTTATCCACTATCAAAGCATCCCATTTCAAACTCAAATGTCCTCGAGGATAAAACACCAACCATTGAAACATCAAAATACTTTCAAAAGCATTATACAATAATTCACTTGCATTGAGTATAATGTTTACTATGGAAGGACACTAGAGTTGCGTCATATAGTCACATGCATTAGTGCAGAATCACACAGTTATACATAAGATAATCCAGGTGCAGAAGGATTTGCTCCTTGGAAAGACTTATACCTACTCTAAGCCCAAGGGTCTTTCCCCACCATAATAGAGAGGGAGCAAATCCACTATGATGCTGAACACACACTTACATTACATATATGGGGCAGCTACTGCTTCCATTTTCACCGGGTTGTGGACAGAAGTTTTGTCCCAAAAGTTCATTATGCTGCAAGGCCTAATATACAATGAGAATTTAGGCAAAATAAATATTTTTAAATTTGACACACTTTCTACCAAGTATCATAATTATGTCCCTGTATTTTATCTTTGTTTCTTCTTCCTGAAAACACACCAAGTTTCACATTCATAATCCTTGTCACAACAAAGGAGCTAGGCTTATTTTCCTGTCATTGGAGAGGCTTGGGTTTGAGGCATTATTTTCAATTCTTGAATAAGGAGTCACTGGAAAGATTACCTGAAACTAAACTCTGCCTTTTTTGTCTCCATCATATCATAAAGCCACAGACACTACATCTGGAAGGATAACACTGGTGTTGAGGGAACACTGTTGATTTAGCACAGCAATATGTTATTCCTCTTTATTGTTTTCAAAACCAGATGCATTTATGGGAGCTAAAAACACACTGGTACTAGAAATTTCCCTTACTTTATTGAAGAGAAAGTATGGTATTTTTTTGCTTGTTTCTTCTTTGAATCAGACAGTCTTTCTTTTTCTATGACTTATACTCTGAATAACATTTTGGCTTTTAAGATTATGATACCCAGTGTATTAACTGTGGTTATTCTGTAATTATTTTTTTTCTTAGAACAAGGTTTTTTTGCATCCCACTAGCATCTACTTGTATTACACTAAAGTTTAATAGGAAACACTTTTCTTTGGGGTTGATTACCATGCTAAAGGAAATGTGTCTATGAGCATTATATGATCTTTGTTTTGTTTCTTAGGTAAGATGCAAACTATGTAGTCTAGTATTCTCTTGTCTCATTTATTTCCTTATTGAACTACTGTCAATGATATATTTTCCTCATTGGGTCAGTCTTCCTTTACTGTGAGATTTACCCTATCCTTCACCTCCTACACAGATTGGAGAGACTGGAGGAAACCTCAGGCCACTCTCTGACTTTGTGCTAACCACAGAAAAGTGGGATTTCTCATCCACTGCCCCTCAGAGCGATGGCCAGGAATCATTTTGGTTGCTTCCAGCCTGGGAACCCAGTCAGAAAGTTGAGCAAACACAATTACCATCAGACCGAAGTATGGAATACTGACGTACTGAAGCCATGGGAATGAAGAGCCATTAGTTCTGAAAAAAACTTCCACAATATAAAATACCTACAAAAAAGCAACAACCATGAATTACAACAGATCCAGGGATTTCAGAAAGAATCCTAGAAAATATCTTTTTGTGAGACTACTACCTTCAAACTGATGCTACACAAACTATGAATGCAGTACTGTTTAGAAAGTAATGACAAAAAAAGGTAAAGTACTTATTCAGTATATACACAATTTTTGTTTCATATCTTTCTGGTCAAGGTGAGTTGAATCTTTGGATAAAGAATTGATGAACATGATGGGCCAAATATGTTGAGTATTCTAAAGACATCAGACTCCTTTTTCCCCCTAAAATTCTTGGCAATTCTGAAACAAATCCAAACATTTCTAGGCATCACATAACCCACTCTACTTCCTTACCAAATTAGAGTCATTTCCAATGCTTTGCCCTTTATCCACAACATGGGGCCAGAAAAGAACATAAAATACAAAAACCTCAATAATTACGGTGAAAGGATAAGAATCTGCTTACAAGGGAAATATAATATCTCAGGGAAAATGGGGTTAAAGAAAAAGGAAGGGTAAAGAAAAATGTATTAAATTATAATAAACACACAGAATAGCTAAGATGGTTGTGCTATAAACTCTATACATACTTGGAACAAAATAGATAACATCCATAGGATTGGAACAATTGTGCATATTATTGTATGGTGATCTGAGGAACCCGTAAAGATCATTAGGTAAAATACCAACCCTAGTTATGCTCATAAGAACTTGTTTTGAAGGTGTATACTGTGAGTGTTCTGAGTGCTTTGCTATTGTTATGTCTTTTTCTTTTTTTAAATTTCATTTAAAGAAAAACTAAACAAAGCAGAAAATGGGTAGAAATAATACATACTTTCAAAGAAGAATAAACAGTAAGAAATCACTAGTTGATGATTACATATTGTCTTCTGACAAATAGTTGTTTAAGGTACAAAAGTGAAACATACAAAGCGGGGATTCAAACAGCAAGACTACAAACAGTTCTGTTCAACCATCCAACAAAAACTTAGTAATATGGTTATCAATCCTATACACTTAAACATGCATGCAGTTATCCATATCTTCAATAATAGTGAGATTAAACAAACTAAAGCAAGCTAAAGTCATTCTGAACAAAGAATAATAGTATTGCTGCATTTCACATCATGACACTACAGAATCAGCACTGGGCACTGTAATGTCTCTTTTTCTTCAAAGTATTTGTTCATTTCATCATGCGTTATAAGATCAGTTCTCGTAAACTGTTTATAGGTTCTACACATGCATGAGTCTTAACAGGTATTTCTATCCTTTCTATATTAGAGGGAGAAACAAAACAAAACATATTCCTATAAACACACAAAACAAACAAGACATATAAAACCACTGTACAAGGAATTCTACAATGATTACTGTGTTGTCTCTTGTTAGCTTCAATAGAATTGTCTATATAATCAGACATGGTATAATTGAATATAGCAGTACACAACAATATTAATAAAAATACAACTTTGTAGATAGTGTAAAACTTCAAACCAGAATGGGTATCATAATGAATCTTGTCATCTTCAGTGTAGTTGCTTATACTCTGAAACTTGATACTATCAATCATAACACTTTTGAATAAAATCTTTGGATACCAAACAGCAATCAAAAAAAAAAAAAAAAACAGATTTAACTAAGATCAGTCGTGATAAAACAGTATAAGTTATACAGGGTTCCAAATTAAATTAACAGGAAATTGAAGATGATTACTGTACTGTATCCTCTTGTTTTGGGGATATCTATCTGTGCCCTCAAATCAAGTGCAAGTGGACTGAGACAGAGTAAAAACTGGGACAGAGTAAAATCTATCTAAGCAGAGAGGTGCAAGTAATGTGTGTTTTAAATCCTGATACACTATTGACAATATTCTCTGCTGCCTTTTTTAAGACTATTCCTTCCCCTTCACTCCCCCAGGGTGCACTGTGTATTTTTGGGTCTCACCAGCACCCTCAGTTTTTAACCTGTGGGGGGGAACCTCCTTACTGGTTCCAAACATTCCCTCTCCTGGAATTGATCTCTAGATGTATTCCTTTACCTATTAAAGCTTGTCTTTCCAACCTATCTACAAATACTGGTCTAGTTGCCCCTATTACTCTCTGGTTCCCTGTCACATAGAGCACTATTTTCTCATATTTGATTTCCTATCCATAAACCATTTTTCAGGTTAATTATATTTCCTATAAGGAGCATCTTGTGTACCCTACCTCCTGATCTACTGTGCCTGTGTTTCTCTTTCTTTTTTAGTGTATCAAAGCCATCTATATTAGAGATTATAGCCAACCATGTCTGCTTCATTTCTGTTGTGCTCTTTTTTGCCATTAGTTGTCTGCTTTTCTTCTTCATTCCACTTTCTGCTCCATTCACTGATGCCTCTATGCCAGTGTTCCTGGAATCCTGCTACTTTTCTCACTCTTTAGAATGTCCTTCATTATTCTCTGTAGAGTTTGATTAATGGTTGCAAATTCCCCTACTTCCTCTTTGTCTTGGAAGCATCTTGTTTTTTCCATTAATTTCTAGAGATAGTTTTTCAGGATACATCAATCTGGGCTGGAGGGTATCTTCTTTCATGGCTTGGAATACTTTGATTCAAGCTCTTCTTGATTTTATGGTCTGTGTCTAGAAATCTGCCATGATTTTGATGGGTTTACCTTTATAGGTGATTAGGTGATCTGTTTCTTTTCTCTGATGGCTTTTAGTATTCTTTTCTTATATTGAATTTCTGGGATGTTGATTATTATATGCCTTTGTGTAGCTCTGTTTTGGTTGTAGGTGGCTGGAATTCTGTATGTTTCATACATCTGAATATCATTTGTTTTTCATATGCTTGGGAAGTTTTTCTTAATTATTTCTGTAAATAACCTTGTGGTTCCTTTGTTTGTACCCCTGCTTCTTCATTCACATTCTTTATTCTCAAGTTATAGATCCTCTTGTCATCTTCTAGCCTTTGTATTGTTACTGCCTGTTTCCTTGTTATTTTTAAGAAATTTTTCCTTTCATGCAAACCTGTCTTCCAGTTTGGATAATCTATTCTTAGTGTCTTTCAAGCAGTTTTGCCAGCTTTCTATGGATTTTCTTATTTCCTAGGAATCTCTTTGAACCTGCTTCATGTATTATATGTTTTCTTTACATTTTTCACCAAATGTTTCTCTCCTTTTTTGTGCTCCTCTATTCTTCCATCTGTGTCTGCTTGAGAGGTGCTTAGTATTTCTTTTATTAATCTACTTATATCTTGCTTTACTTGGTTAAGTATTTCACTTTTGAACTCATTGATGAGGTCCTGAACATATCTCTTCATGTCCACTGATGCTGTGTCTGATATTGCATGGTTGCTGTCCTCACTCTCTTTTGTATTTACCCTTCCTCCATCAATGTTCTCAGGGTTGGGGACTGGGGACTTTTTCTTATTGCTTCCTCTTCTCATGTTTTTGGTTTCTTTCATACAGGCATATAGAAGAGGTCCCAGTCTCCTTCCTTGTCGGTTATGGTTCTTCTAAATTGCACTGGCTAGGTAATCCTACTGACTCTAATGTCTTATTGAGGTGCAAACAGGGATGGCATATCCTGGCTCCTCCCCTCTGGTTCAGTCAACCTGCTGAAGCCTTCACTGCATTAATGCATGCTACACTTAGGGAATTGGTTTGGGACAACTTACTGAGTCTCAGCCAGGGACATGACCCAGGCCAATCTCATCTGGGAAGAGAACAACTGACTGAAGTCAATGCTTTCCTTTTCTTCCCAGTCTTGCCCAATTCCAAAATGTTGTCCTGTTGGTGTTCCTTTCCCATGGAAGAGTTTTATACCTGGAAGTCACTGCAGATCAATCCAGGTCCCTTGCTGGCTCTGTTATCCATTGGGCTTGCTGACCTCTGACTTCAGTGTGACTGCATTTTACTGTGACTGCGTTTCCGCTGAGTTGAGGCAGCGGGAATTCAGGCGTGTAAGAGCACAGAATCTTAGCTGCCTCAATAGTAGCCCTGGGACTTCATGTTTTACTGGTTCTTTTTGCTTTAGTTTCTTCCTGGGTCAAGAGGATCCATCCCATTCTGTCCAAGACTCCCCAGTATGTGTTATTCTGGCATCCAAGTTGTCTGTCTCAGGGAGTCTTTGTATTCTGCTCTTATCTATTGCCAACTGTACCAAAAGTTATATGTCTTTTTCGTTTCATGTTTTTCTAGGAATTTATTTTGTTTGGTCTTGTTTTATTTTTATTTTTTGCCTCTCATATAAAAAGGATAGGTATACATGCAGAGACTCATGCAAGTGTAGAAATTCTAAGAAGTTTTTGAGAATTATATAATGCATGATGAAATGAGCAGCTACTTTGAACAAAAAGAGACACTAAGGTATGAGTGCTGATTGGTAGCATCATGATGTGAAATCCAACAATATTATTATTCTTTGTTCAGAATGATTTTAGTCTGTTTTATTTTGTTTAATTTCAACATACATGAGGGTATGTAAAACTTTTTTGATGATAATGAGAACATTATGGCAGCCGGTGTTGACTGACCTACTGTCTGTTCTTGAAGACCTAAAATGCCTTCCTTGATCCTGTTCTGATCAGTTTAATACTATTTTGTTTTGTATAGAATTCACTGTATGTGAAGCTATGGACAATTCTTTGGAAGAAAACAAGAGACAATATGATAGACAGTGAAGATCTCTGATTGTATTGCTTTGATATCTGTGTCTCTTATATGGTTTTTGTATGGTCTGTTTTGTTCTATTTTTTTATTTTTAAATTTACCCACTTTAAAATAAAATTTAAGAAAAAGATGCTAATATCTGAGATTTTTTTAAAACTAAAAACCTTACTATTGAGGTTTAATTGCAGTGTCAGCACTTTGTGATAAACAAGTGGATCTTTGCTTGTCATTTGTGCATTCATCTGCAGAAGGGTTGTCATCACTGATTTAGACATGTTGGGAATAGCCACATTGATTTCCAAAGATTTTGTAGCAATTTACCTTCAAGGGCAACCATGT